ACACGCGAGCAGATTCCTTAAGTAGGCAGGTTTCTATTTATGTTTYATAATTAAGTTGTTCTATAAATAATATCGAGACGTGCTCGGCGAGTCGCGTCTGTTATGCGGATAAAAACTTGCCAACTAAGAACTTATGCGGGAAAATTCTTCGATTTTTATTTTTCAAAACTGTATTAGGTACATTAATTCAGTTTTTTTTTTTGTTACTAAGCGAAAAAGCTATTTAAAATGTTTAAAAAAAACTTATTCTCTTATAAAAGTCTCTCTCTTAAACTTATTATTAGAATACAAGAAAACTTAAAGACTAAAAACTAATAAGTACTCAAGAAAGTAAACTTATTGCCATGAAATTTGAGCATAACTATTCCCGAAATTTGTCACATTCATTTGTCACAATATCGAAAAATCAGYGGTTATATAAGTTTAGCATATAATATAATACTAAGATCATACTAAGATGACTTACGGCGTTCCTTTTTGCGGTCCAAAACTTGCTTTGTCTTCATATTTAATATCGTATGGGACATAGCAGTCTTGGAATAATCCTTTGAATTGGTTTCTGATTTCACAGTGTCCTTCTTCGACTCTGACCTGTTGGTAATAAATAATAATAATTTATAAAAATACAACAACTCGAACAACTGTGTATGTGTTAATTGGGTTCAATTTCCGTCCATTCGCGTTGTACCAATAAGTTCGATACCTGTTGCAGTATTCGATTACGTTTCGAATTTTTTTAACTTTTTTTGTTTTTGTTTTAGAAATAAATTAATCACGTCGATTGTGCATCTCGCGTTTATCGTTTAAACTGTCTCCGCTGAAGTCCTGGGCGCGAGTTGAGTAATAACAGCTCAATAGTGTTATGGAGGTGTCCGCGACGTAGTTATATAACTTATATATAAATTGATATTGCGGAGAAGCCCCGTGTGTACAAAAAAAGAAAAGCAAACACACTATAACCGCGTGTCGTCGATAGTATACGGTCATATGACTTGAGGGAGAAGAGAGCAGTCGTGTATTTTATACGACGGAAATCTCACGTAGAGCTCACTTAGTGTACCTACATATAATCTTCTGTATATGCACCGACGCGCTTCTATAAATCCCGATGGGCTTATGATTTATAATATATATATAGAGAGAAAGAATATATAGGTAACCTCCACTACTCGAGGGCCCACGCGTAATACCATATTAGATTATATTATTATCATTTAATTGTTGTAGTCGCTTTTATTTATTTATTTTTCTCCCCCTGGAAACATAGTCTCGTCGTCGAGAAAAATACGACACACGATCACACCGCTGCAATGCGCACGTCATGATAAATTATTGTTTCATAATATTAAATGATATTATTATGGTGTACGGGTAGATGTATCACCACGCCGTATTACTATCACTGTATTATGATAGTCGAATTATTGTAGTATGACGTGCAGCGGTTATATGACAACGAAAACAACTAAACATAGTGTAGGTGTATATTATATTATATTGAAAAAAGAAATTTCGTTTTWGGATTAAAATTTTGTTTTTAGTGGGTTATAATATACTCATTAAACATTGAATAATACCTGTCTCACTCTGGGTCTGAACAGAAATTTGTTTTCGGACAGTAATTTGGTACTGTCGTCCTTGTCCACCACCGTGGGAATTTCGTACAGTTTGTCACACAATACACTGTGAAAGTACTGTACAAAAACCAAACTTTGAATTATTAAATGTATGTCTATACGGCTATGCTCTGTGTCAACGAGAGAACACAACCAAGCAGCGACTAAAATTGGTTCTTCTGCGTTCTGTGCCCCCCCCCCCACCCCACGGGTTAGGTTCTCTCGTTGGAAAGAGTTTAGATATATACCGCACGAGTGTAATACAAATAATATTATATGGGACAAGTGTGGATCCTGAAAATTTAAACAGAAGTTTTGTTGTGTGAAATTTGGTTATATCTTTCTTATTTAGTCTACGTAATTTTTGATATAAATTAATTTTATTGATGGYTTAGACGACAGAGGGGGACTGAGCAGTGGTGAGCATCCATAATCTCAGTCTAAATCCACGCCTGAATTCATGGGGCATAACACTATGTGAAATCGAACTTTTGATCGGGTATGAAAGGATTTTATTTTACAGGTAATACTATACCTGCCAGAAGTGCGTCATGGTGATGATGTCGCCGAATTTTAAGGATATGTCGTAATCGTCGTCCGAGTGCGCCGAGAAACTCGATTCCAAGAACAGTGAGGATATTTCTCTGTTGATTACGAACGTGTCATACGAGTACAAACGAGTACATGCTGAATCGTTATACGTATATATTATCGTTAATAACAATAATGATCACAATATATTATTATAATGTGATACACGCGCAGTGGCGTATCTGATGCTCGAACACGGGAGGGGGATTACTGTTTTCAAATAAACTTTTTTAAATACATTTAATTACCTCATTAGGGTTTTAGAAAGGGACAAGTATAATTATTAATTTCTTGCAGACCAATTACATTTATTTTTTTTTGTCACAATTGTTTTAATTTTTACAATATATATAAAATATTGGAGAGATGCATAAGAATGTTTGGTTGGCTTGATTGTAAAACTATTCAATAATAGTATGCTTTTCATGGCCGCCTTCATGATTACATTTTTAGTGATAATAATTTAAGATATAAAAATTTACACTGTTCACCGAATTTAGTGAAGAATAGTAAAAAATAAAATAAACTATAATAAAACAATAAGACAGGATATTTCGTTAAGAAAGGGTATTATAGGAAAAGTTCATGAATGACACAAATGTTTTTCTTGAAATTTGGATTTTGGATTTTAGAATGTACAATTTAATTTTGGTGCGGGCCGCATGCGTAGTGTGGATACTGGATAGCTGATCTACAGGATAGGTATAACAGGAAGRCCTGACAAACAAAAATAAAAATTGATACTATATCGTCAAACGTATTATGAAAATTATATGGATAAATATTTATTACAACAAAATATGTTATTTCATTTGTCAGGTTTTTCTATTACACATTGTATATGTACAGCCGTCATCGGGCGAGGTAAGTACAGTGTTTTTATATATTGATAATAATATGCTGGTCGCAGCTGCTCTCGATTGCGCTTACAGGCGAAGAATATCACGAAAAACACAGCGTAAATGGCCAGTTCCTGGATTGTTAGCTTGACGTACAGTTCACGATCGTTTTTGTCCAGAGCAATCTGGCGGGTCTTCCATATGACTGCAAACCGAGAAATGCGTGTGAGAACCATCGAAATATAATAAATTATTTTCACAACCCGAACATGGTGTAATTGAAATGCGTGTATAAGTTTGATAGAAGATAGTATTGYCATATTAAAATATAATTGTATGCATAACATACGAAACCAAACTATTATGTCGGTTTGTATGATATCGATGATACGGTATTGCTGGCTAAGGACGCTCGTCTGACAATACAAGGCGTTTCAAAGARAATAGAGCATCGACGGAACAAAAATTATATGATATATATATATATTTTCACATAGTCCTACAGAAAGAGGTCGCATGGTGTGCATGGTAGCGGCGAATTTGACTTAGTTGTATGGGAGAGAGGGTGACACTAAAACTATAAGTTTAAATTCTACCCTATTCATTTTACCATTTAAGGTAGGTACCTAGTAACATATACCTATATAAAAACAATAATTATTCAAGTCATGATAAGCGATTTCCCTCATTACCTCCCCTCAAATAAGCCACTGGTGCGAGATCTGGTGCTGCGAGTTATCTTCACGACCCATCAGTAGCGTTGTGGTTAGTGGCGATTTAAGAAGGTGCAAACTTCCCACTAATGCGGGGGAGTTCGAATATCGCCTCCATATCTGTTCGTAGTACGGTTGGTGGTCACGTTGATAATTTGTAGAAATTTAATAAAGATTGTTGAAATATATTTACTCTTTCTGTATAACGTTTTTTGGTAGAGTCGTTGAAAATCATTTCATTCTTAATGAAACGCCCTGCATGTATTATAATCTATAATAATTAATAAYGTACAGAATTACATGCAGGTGGAATTCCACCGAGAAGCTCTTCGTCCATCTGTTTAATTCAATTCAATTATAATAAATTGTTTGCACGATCCACAACGCGGTATTTAAATTAGAATCACCTCAAAAGCCAATAGCAAATTGGAGAGTTTACTTCTCTAGATATACAGAGAGCGGTGCAAGCTTATTRTGGTGAGTGGTAACATCTAATTATTTTGATATTCTATTTATATACAATACATATACTATTCAACTATTRTACATAGATTATAGTGAGTTCGATGATGAAGGAAGCACGATATAAATTTTGAATGTATGACCGAATTTGATTAGTATTTTTTCGCTGAATTAAATTATTGGTTACTATTACACTAGGTAATTCTTAACCTTTTTTTTTGTAATTTCGTCCCTTTCCAAGTTTAAATTTGAGTAGCATTTTTTTTTAAACATCTTTGAGTTATTTGTATAWTTTTTTTGTTTCAACAGTTTACTAATTATTWATAATATTATAATATTTTTTTTTATTAGCAGTCTATAATACTTATTATTTCCTTGCGATTTTACAAATTTGTATCTTATGAGATATCATTGATTTTTTGAAATTTGAACTTGCTTTCAATAAGTTTATTTTTAAAACGGAAAGTATATTATTTTCATAACTTGTTTGATTTACAACATATACCGCCTTTTAATTTCGAATTTTGAAACAAAATATTAAAGAGTACTTTGATAAATAAAAAAAAAATTTGGACAAGCATTAAAAAAGATATTTTCATAAAAAGTTATAGGCACTTCATAACATAATTATAAATAATGAATATTCATCTATAAAATAATCACCCAATGTGGTCCGTATATATATATTGCTGATATTATACCACAAATACTTGCTTACAACTGAGAAACCCCGGTTGACGAACATTTACAGTGGATATACCTTTTTATTTCCTAAAGGGTAGAGGTTAAAAACTGGGGTACATGTACCACGTATATGGTATGAAAAAAGCCACACAGTGGTAAATAATTGATGGCTGCAGATCACGTGACAGTATGGAAATTAATATGTTTTTTTATCATTAATGCCTRTGGCCAAAGTGGATGATTAAATGTTTTTAATTTTTTGTGTAAATTATTATTATTATTACTTTTATGTCTTTTACGTGAGTAACTAAGTTATTATGTTCAATAGAATATGGATCAATTATTCTGAATCGAGGAGAATAAACATCAATAAGTGGAATTAATCGACACACACACACCGCGCACGATCGTCGATCATTTAAAAAAACATATTTAAATATTTAAATGTCTTATTTTAATTTWAATACGATTACCTACACGCATATATTACAAACCGATAATATTCAGAACTTTGTAACAAGTTAATAATTTAGGGCACGATAAATG